TCCTTTGGTGAGAGTGAGGTATTAAAGTCTCCTAGTATTATTGAATTTGGATCTATTTTATTCTGTAAGTTTGAGAGTATTTGCTTAACATATTTGGGTGCACCAATGTTTGGTGAGTATAAGTTGATAAGGGTAATATCTTGGATTGTTCCCTGTATTAATATGAAGTATCTTTCTTTGTCTTTTTGTATTGTTTTAATGAAAAGTTTATTTTGTCAGATATCAGGATGGCAACTCCTACTTTTCTGCTGGGAGCAGTTGCATGGTAGATCCTTCTCCATCCCTTCACTTGGGGTTTGTTTTTATGTTTGTCTGTGAGGTGGGTCTCTTGAAGGCACAGATGGATGGGTCTTGTTTTCTGATCCAATCTGCAGTTCTTTTTCTTTTGATTGGTGAATTGAGCCTGTTAATATTTATGGTTATTATAGAGAGATGCATTCTGTTTTCTATTAATTTCCTGAATTCCTAAGTTTTTCTTTCTTTTTCTCCTGTGCTTACTAAGTTGGACTTTCGTGATATCTGTCTGATGTGGATCCCTGTTCTTGATTGTTTTCTTCAGGTTGGGTCCCCTCTTAATATTCTTTGTAGTACTGGCTCACTATTTATGAATTCATTTAGTTTTTCTTCATTGTTAAAAATGTTAGTTTCTCCATCAAATGTGAATGCTAGCCTTGCTCAGTATTTAAGTCTGGACTGGCAGTTACTGGTTCTCAGGGCTTGGATCATACTTTCACAGGCTTTCCTTGCATTCAGTGTCTGTGTGGAGAGATCTGCAGTGATTCTGATTTTTTTCTCATTATAGTATAGCTCCTTCTTTGTTTTTGCTGCATGCAAGATTGTTTCTTTATTATTCAGATCTATCATTTTTACAATAATGTGCCTCGAAGTATTTCTCCTGGGATCCTTATTGTTAGGTGTTCTATATGCTTCTGTTATGTCGGTAAGATGTTCTTTTTTAAGATGGGGAAATTTTCATTCATAATCTTACTAAATAAGTGCTGCATTCCCCTGTTCTGGTATTCCTCACCTTTGTCCACTCCAAGTATACAAAGGTTAAATTTCTTGCCACTGTCTGCTCGTTCTTGGATTTCCCTTTGGCATAATGTAAGTGGTTTTTCCATATCTATGACTTTTTTTTCCCAGTTGCTGCATTTTGTCTTCTGTATCTGTTATTTTAATTTCCTTTTCATTCACTCTGTTAACTATGGCTTCCATTGTGGTTTGCATGGAGGAAATTGAGCCATTTATGGCTTCTATGTTCTCAGAGTATCAATCTCATCTCTTAACGAGATGTGCATGCATCCCTGCATCTGTTTTGATATTTAGTTTCTGTATTATTTAAATTTATGATCTATTTCTCACTTTAATTCTTGAATCATTGCCTCCAGCATCTCTTGGATGTAGTGTTTGTCTTCCATTCCTGTTTTGTTTCCACAGGGGCTCTCCCCTGGGTGGCTGCTGGCTTTTAGGGGTAGCTTGCTATCCTGGGTATTGATAAATCTTGTAATTTTTCTCTGTGATTTTCGCATGAGCTGTCCAATCTCCAGTCTGGGATATACAGGTCAGGCTCTAGTAGGATTTGGGCTTCTGGTTCTCTTGCCCTGGACACACAGGTCTTTTGCCATCAGGGGCTGATTCTCAGGGCTTGCAGTTCTCTGCTTTCCCCCTCTGCTGAGGTATGCGCTCAGCTTCTGACTTCAATTGATATGGGTGGGTTGTGTAGCTCAGGCACCCGATCTCCAGGCCTGGCCCTGGCTCCTGGTCCCCCACCTGGGGCATTCAGGGTAGACCTGTGATTCTGGGTATTCCATCCGGGGTACGCAGCCTGTGGTACGCAGTTCGGGTTTCTTCCGCTGCTGGCTGCTGTGGCCCGCAGGTGCTGTTCCCAGCTTGGGCGTTTAAGCAAGCTCCCTCCCAGGCCTGCTGTTGATCAAGCCTGGTCGGCTGGATGTGCTCCATGGGCTGGTGGGGTGCTTGCACAGGTCCCAGTTTTAGTGGGACCTGTAGTCCAGGTGGTGAGGGGTGGGGATCAAGCTCTGTGGGTTACTGCCAGTACTGGTCTCCCTTGGCAGGGTACACCGTCCCCTGTGGGGTACTTACCCTGGAGCTAATTGGGAGCTACCTAGCGATGCTGTGGCAGATTGCAGCTTTTGTGCAACGTAGGTCACTGTTTGCCACTGCACACTGTTTGGTTGAGATGCTTGTGGGCTGGTCTGGGTGGTGTCTGTCTCTGCCTCTGTTGATGCTGTCTGGGTCAGTGCCGTGGGTGTTTTTTGTGCTGGCTGCCGGTGGAGGGGTGGGGAAGAGGTCTTCGTGCAGGTTCTGAGCTCTGAGGTTTCTGTCTCTGTGTTCTCCAGCTCAGCACCAGCACCTTGGGAGTCTTTTGCTCTGGTGTTCTGCATCTGGACTCCTGTAGTTCTGGGGTTCCCCTGGGTGGTGAGTCCAAGTGGTCTTAGTGGGATGAGGAGGGGCCGCTCTGGTGAGGGGTGGGTGAAGGGTCTTTGTGCAGGTTCCGAGCTCCGAGGTTTCTCTGTTTGCGATCACTGGGTCTGGCACCGCACCTTGGGCGTCTTCTGTGCTGGCATTCTGCAGACAACCCCCTGTGACTCTGGGGTCTCCAGCAGCCAGCCCTGGGCCTGGCCGGGCCAGTCTTGGTTCGACGCGGAGCTGCCCAGCCGCAAGGGTCTTTGCGCTTTTTCATTCTGAAATTCCTTCCTTCCTTCCTTCCTTCCTTCCTTCCTTCCTTCCTTCCTTTCTTTCTTTCTTTCTTTCTTTCTTTCTTTCTTTCTTTCTTTCTTTCTTTCTTTCTTTCTTTCTTTCTTTGTTCACCTCCTGTTTTCCTCTGGGTGTTTGGCTTTTTGCTGTTGTTGGTCTCTTGGGGAAATTAGGCGTTGGAACTTAAACTCTTATTTGGTTGGAGAGAGCTGTAGTGTTTCCCTACTGTCCTGTCACTATCTTGGCACCCCTCTGAAATTCAAATTTCACCTGCCAAAGTATATTAACTAAATGTAACCACACATGAATATTGGCAATCCCTCTTCAGTCCACAAATTACTATGTGAAAAACAAATGACTTCTTTGCAGCAACAAAGCATTCCCTCTTTATCTCCCAGTGATAAACCCACTCAAGTGTTATTTTATAAAAAGAAATAATCAAAACAGAGTTTTGGCCAACAAAGATGAAAGTGCACCAAGAAGTGAACAATGTTACAGCTGGAAGTGGGATTTGAACTATACTGTGGAGGAATGGTAGGAGGACATGTCCCCACATGAAGTAGGTGCTAGGCAATCCTGGCACTGCCCTACTCAGTTATCTGTAGATAATGCACCAGAGGAATTTAGTGAGGTCCATTATTTTTGAAGTAGCAGATGCTTATACATAGCTTTTCCAGTTTGAGGCATCTGATTTCCTCATTCCATTTATCCTTTTGCTTTTATATTCATTGCCTTTAATCATGATAAAACTACCATTCATTGCATAACCTGATCTGCCTTTGGCATTGTTCTAATTATTTTTACACACATTGTCTTATTTCATTGTCAAAATGAGACATAGGGTAAAGATAGAATTATTTGATGGAAAGACATGGACCGAAGCAGAAGAGAACAATAGTGTAGCTGAGGAGAGCATTGCTAGGCTTCCTTTGATCATGCTTACCCTTGATCACCTCTCCTATCTGGAATAGTCATTCTTGCCTACATCATTTCCTTTCAGAATCAGTTTATGATGAGATCAGTTCTTTCAGTTTTATGCTCCTTTTTTCCCCTAACACACTAATGTTCACCTGCATTTTGTTTCCAATTAATATTTTTTTCTAAGAGATACTACAAGGCTCTGAGAGTATTAAAAATGTATTTCTTTTTAAAATGAAAAGTGACATTTCTATAGTTTCCAAAAAACATTTTATTTATTTACTAGTCTCCAAAATAGTAAGTTAATTCCTTACCATCCTCTCATGGGACTTTCCCCTCTGAATATTATTTAATTTATATGCATTTTTGAAGCATTTTAATCCATTGCAGTTAATATTTATAATGTTCTATTTGTGGTTGAGGGGGCTGACTCAACCTTGTATTTAAGGATTTATCAAGAGTTTTTTTCTGTCTTTATAATTATTCAATGCACAGTATCTTTTGTGTTGTTACTAATTCTGGTATAAAGTTTAATTCTTTGAGATTTTGAGGGATCTATTTTTTTTCCATGAGTCTTGTAGGAACAATTTAAAGTTTGTCTTTCATCTATCGTTTATGTTTCAGTTTTTGGTTTTATACATTAGACTCAATGGATTATAATTTTAGAGCTTCCAAAGTAAGCCACAGATTTTTCTAAATTTTAAAAAATCTTGTTTCTCAAGTAATTACGTTTCCAACACAATTTTAGAATTTCGAGTAATACTTAATTTCTCTTGTTTTGTGATATTTTTTGAATCTTTTTTTAATGTGTCAACCTTGTTGTGTTTCTCCAAATGGATGGGTTCATCAGCTAGACATTTTCTACATTCTGGAAGTGGAAGGATGGGATAGGCATTTTCTACATTCTGGAAATGGAAGGATGGGATAGGTGGTGAGAGGTGCCATTTAAAACAAGGCTAACCTTGTTTGTTAATGTATTTTAATAGTTTTATGTTTCCTATCTTAGTTCAAAAACTCCTCTGATATTAACTTTCTAATGGAAGCTAGATATTTCAGAAATAATTATTTATTTATTTTTATTTTTGGTCTGGTCGTGGGGCCTGAACTCTGGGCCTGGGCACTGTCCCTCAGCTCTTCAGCTCAAGGCTAGTGCTCTGCCACTTGAGCCACAGCGCCACTTCCGGCTTTTTTCTTAATGCTTATGTGGTGCTGAGGAATCGAACCCAGGGCCTCAGGCATGCAAGGCAAGCGCTCTACCACTGAGCCACCTTCCCAGCCCCTCAGAAATAATTTTTAAAAATCTATAGTCCACTTGTGTTTGGAAGTTGTTAAAAAAAGGATAACCTCGGCTTCACTATATTCTTTAGTTAAGAGAATCCTTGGAGAAATCAATAAACCAACTGCGGAGTCAACGCTTACAGAGAAACTCAGGGGGGAGAAGTATTTCTGTTACAAGTGTGAGTACAAGTGACCTCGATGGTGGCACTGTGACAGGTAAACCATTCAAATCTTCTGAAAACCCTTTCTTGTTTTAAAAATACTCATATTGTAGACATTTAACCTTTACAGAAATGGCAATACATACATAATGTCATCCATAGTAGGTGTTAGAGCATGTAGTTTTCAAGGATGGTTAGTGTGTATTTTGAAACTTACTAACGAATCTTTATAATTCTACAATTTTTTTTCAGACCTTTATGGTACTTTTAATTTTACCTAACAAAGCCTGAATATCTTTGTCTGTTCCCAAACAATCTAACACACATGATACATTGTACTCATAAATGGGCATATTGAATTGAAATGCTTTCCATAATTACTTAAAGATACTAAGAAAAAACCCCAAATATACAAATAATAATTACTGTATGGTATGCTCTCTGGATTAGTAATTTTGTCCTACCATAATAGTTTTTCAAGTATCTGATTATGAACTATCTTATGACATTTGTTGAGAACAAGAGGATTTTAGTCTTGTAAGCTAGATGTCAGTGGCTAGCATAACAGGAAACACTTAGCTTTCCTATAATTAATCTTACTTACACTAAGATTCATGTTTGAATTAAAAATTGGACACAACCATTTATTTGTTCTCCAGTTAATTGATTCTTACTGATTTTCACAGTGTTCAGATTTTGGATTATTTTGTTATTTGCCAAATTTTGTTTCATTGGTATAAAACTGTATTTTATGAAATCATAATTTTTTTTAAAGTTGAGCAAGTTTTGTTTATGTAAAAGAAAATACACTACTTTGGAAGTATAAAAAAGAGCTTTGACATGTTCTTTTCCCCATTTAGTTCTGTTGTTCATTTTGTCTGCTCTAAGGACTGAATTAGAGCTAATCTTGTGGAACTTTATCAGTATAACAAATTGCTTTGGAAATAGCCTAAGTTAAAGGCTTGTGTGGTACTCACTACTGGTATGCATGGATGAAGTATGTTTTTAGATTATTCCTTCTTGTGTATTGTTTCAATCCCCTTCCTTTTCTTTCAATTGCAGAGAGCCACCATTTTCCACCTACCTCACCTCTTAAGGAATATGATCCACTGGGGACCAAACGAAGTAAGTCCAGAACTGGTGTCCGGTTTGTTCGCCAAACTGATGACATGACCCAGGTATTGTGTAATTTGTATGTGGTATTTTCCTACATTTCCATGTGAATGAATAATACTTGAGCTATCTGATTATATTTAACTAATCATTTGGTTATTTGATCATTATGAACTTTGCATAACTTTGTATTGATCTTTTTTATTCTTGTTTCATTTGCCACTTTATACCCCTACTTCTGGCGTTTTATCTGGTGAATTGGTGATAAGAGTTTCTAAAATTTCTTTGCCTAAGCTGGCTTTAGGCTAGGATCCTAAGATTGTAGCCTCTTGAGTAGCTAGGATTACAGGTGTGAGCCACTGGCTCCCAGCTGTTTATTTATTCATTCATTTTTGTTCTGTGCTTCTTGTTTTTGAACTTAGGGCCTTATACTTCCTTTGCTTACTTGTTTGACTGGTGCTCTACCACTTGAACTGTGCCTTCAGCCATGGTTTTTGGCTGGTTATTTTGAAGAGAGAGTCTTTTCTATCTGGGCTGGCTTTGAACCCATCATCCTTCAGCTCTCAGTTTTTTGAGTAGCTACCTTACAGATGTGAAACACTGGTGCTTGGCTTCATACATTTATTTTGAATTTGTTACAGAGATTATATTACAGAAATTATACATCCAATTTGGTTGGGCATATTTGTTTCTTTCCCTGTGTAGGCTGCTCAGTTTTTTAAAAAGCCCTGTAAGTCCAGCTACTTTCTATTTCGCTAAGTTTGAATAAGTGTGAATAAGTTTGTCATTGTGTGGCTGACCTATTGATTTTTCCACTACTTAAGTGTTTCTCTCATTATTGAATCACTATTGGAGCGATGTAAGAAATTTCATCCTTCAGTGTTTACTGATGATTTCTGATATCATTATTTCTATACTATATTTTACCCCATTTCTTGCAAGCTCTTTTCAGAGCCAAGTTTCTTTTCTTTTGTGTGTTAGGGAGCTAAATTAATTAGCCAAGCATTAGGGGAAATTTCTGACTTTGAAACCTTCATTTTTTTTTTTAAATTTTAGGATTGGGTTCTCAAAGTTAGTTTTAGGAAACTACAACATAACATAAAAATAAAACAAAAAATGTAATAGAAAAACCTTGTAGAAACTTTTCCTTGACTCATATTTTAATAGATGCAGATTGCTAGCATGGATTATATGAATAAACTTAGAGCAAAGAACAACAACAACAACATTTACTTTTTTATTCTCTTTATTCAGTGCCTCTGTCATTGGGACAGTATTTACATTTGGAGGCAGTGATGAAAGAGGCTCTCCTTTTTCATCAGGTTTATTACTGGATGAGGAATTAGATTGAGTCATTCTACATAGGACAAATCTTTTTGTCAGAAAGGAATATAGCCCCTATGAGCAATTTAGAGAAGGCCATATGGCTAAAGAAGGATAGAAGGGCTGGGATAATGCAGTGCCTCATAAGGAGCCAATAGAATTGTTATGAAAAGATCATTATTCATCTAGTGTAGAAAATGGAGTCAGTGTGGACAAACTAGTTAGGAAGGTATTGTTTGGCAGGTGTGAGGTGATGGTCACTTGGGTTAGGATAAATGAATTGGAGAGAAGAATACAGATTTAAAAGCTACTTAATGAATAAAATTGATAGGTCATGAAGATCAGATAGACATGAGAGGAAGGTAGGAATGAGTAAAAGGATATGTCAAGATGATTCTGGTTGCAAATTTGGAAGATCATGAAATCGTGACAGCAAAGCTCAGTGGGCACCTGTTATCCATGCACTGCATTACCTTTACTCTTTTTTTTTTTTTGTCATCTTACTTTATTTTATGCCAGTACTGGGACTTGAACTCAAGGCTAGGCATTATTCCTCAGCTTTTTCACTCAAGGCTGGTGCTCTACTGCTTGAATGTAGGTATTTATCTTATTCATTACTAACAAAATTGTAGAATTTTTGTGAAGATCAAGATTTTTACTTTCAGTGACTTTTGGAAGATTTCAATGGAATCCTAAATGCTGTGTTTTGCCTTTGCTAGCTTCATAGCTTTCACCAGTCCCTCCGAGACCTCAGCAGTGAACAAGTTCGCCTTGGAGAGGATTTCAACAGGGAGCTTTCCAGGAGAAGCCGGTAAAAGTAGAATATTGTCTTATAAAGGTTTTATGAATTATTAGGGGAATAAATTAATTCTTGTAATATAAAGAGAAGAAAAACTATAGAGGGAGCATCAAGGATAGAACAGAATGCCAAGGAGTCCCAATATTTGGGAGATTTTTTTTTTTTTTTTACATGAGGATCTGGCTTGAGAAAAATCAACTGGTGATTATGTGGGAAATACAGGAGAGCATGGAAGCATAAAAATGAGGAAAGACAAAAATAAACACAACTCTAGAGAGTCACACTTTCTTGACTTAACTCATCTCTGAGAAAATTATCTAAAGACATATAAATAAAATAAGATTGTAACTAAAATACAGATTATAAGAAGTAGTAAAAGTAGCCCAGGAATTAAGTAGAAGTAAACCCAGAAAGACAGCCATATAATTTTTTTAAATTTAATTTTATTGTCAAGGTGAGGTACAGAGGGGTTCCATTTACATACATAAGGTAGTGAGTACATTTGTTGTCGAACATTGTTTTTAACTGCAATCATTAAGAAAGAAATGTCATTTTCTATTTCCTTTTATGCAGGATAGAATATTAACTTCAAAAAGTATAAATTGGCCAACATTTCGTTTTTTTTTGGGTTAAATTGGCCAACATTTCTAACCTAATCACATTGACAGTTTCTCCCAACTTTTCTTCCAGTAGTTACATAGTTTTGACCCACAAACTGTGTGCACTCTAAATTATAGTAGGAAAGTAAGTGTCCTTGAATAACACATAGTCAAGGAGAATGGACAGTTCAATCAAGGGTAGATGGAAAATATCAATGGACAAATAAATAAGCCCAAAAGATAATGACAAATTATCTAACTGAAATTGTGAACAGGATAGAATGCAAGCCCAAAGCATCACTTTGTTATAGAATTTTCATATGGCATATATTATGAAAATTGCAAGGTGATCAATACAACCTAAAACAGTCATTCATTCAGTATTGGAGAGTAGTTACTGAGCTAAGAACTTCAAAATGAGAAGTCAGTTGAAAATATAAGAGTTGGAAATGAAGGTAGGAAGTAGCCATTAGGAAGTAGACGTAGGGTATGGAAGTAGGTGAGGGAAAGGCTTTTTGCTGAGCTCACAAGTCTTTTTTGTACTGTTCGATTGTTTACTATGTAATTAATTTGATGGGGAAATGAGAATAGAGTTTGTATGGCACACTCAGATGTAATGTGATTATGACTTGATAGACATGGTGTGCAACAAGAGCTTTGGCCTCCCTCTTTTTTTTTTCTTCTCTTTTCCGTTTGTAAATTTGGTGTTAATGTAGCATGTTCATTTGTTAAAGGTCCTAATTTAGTGTAGTGGTGCCTTTCAAATATAGATATAAAGAAATAGTAGTAGTATATTATAAATTTATTATTATTACCTTTTATTTATTTATTTTTATTTATTATTTTGAGTCAAGGTCTAGCTTTTGTAGCTCAGGTTGGCCTCCAACTCTGATTCTCCTTTCTGAGCCTCCCAAGTTCTGGGATTATATGGTCACCAGGCCTGGCTGCAGAATGTTTTTTGTAGTGGTTCTGTAGCAGTCCTTATGAGGAATTTTCAGATCATCTCACATAAATGTGTAACCACAAGTCCACAGCATCAGTATCACTTAAGAGTTTATAGAAGTGATGATTCCAGATTTACTGATTCAGATACATTGGGGGTGAGTTCTAGCAGTCTGTGTTGTAACAAAGTCTTCAGATGTTTGAGAACCAATGCAGCAGACCATCACATAATAGCTATTAATATAAGTTATTATAAATATGATTACTATGTATTATATGTAATTGTTAATGTTATAAAATATTATGAAGTTCACCGTTTGTATATTTTCTTAAATATTCAACTTAAAAATCTGTTTCTTTCTTGGCCTAGATCGGATGCTGAAACAAAAAGGGCTTTGGAAGAATTGACTGAAAAACTTAGTGAATCCCAGAAACAAGATGTGGTAAGGACTTACAGAGTATACAGTTTTATTTCACATGTAGATGGGGGGAACAAGGTGTCCGTACTAGTCCTAATCACAATGAACTTACTCAGAGTTTAATCTTTTGAGTGGTGTGTACCATTTTGCCAAAGAATCTTTTCTTGTACCTTATATAAAATGTTCATAAATTATAGAAATCTGAGTTTGAAAAGTCGCAACAATAGTATATTAGAGATTTGACTTTTTTATTTCTTTCAAATTTTGTTATGTTTTGAGACAGCATCTCCTTATGTAGCCCAGGCTGGCTTCTAAAGCATGATTCTCCTGCTTCAGCCTCCAAAATGCTGGGAGTAGAGATGTGGCCACTACAGCTGACTGCACTGTGTTTTCTGTACTGGTTCTGTATCATTCCCTATTCTGTATTTTCTGATCACCTCACATAAGTGTGTGATCTCTGTGCTGCAGAGACCTCTTGCTGGGTTGTTTGTTGGATATGGTGCTAGTTGAAAAATTCCTAATTCTTAAGTTTTATATCTCAAACACAGATTCTCATCATTCATTATCTATTTTAAATAAAATCATGTTAGACTATAAAGTGTATATAGTGTTCATTGTTTCCCATCATCAGGTATTATAATTCTGGAGAAGAAAAACATCAATAGAAATTGTCATTAGCTGTGTGGGTGGCTCATGCCTGTAATTCTACTACTCAGGAGGCTGAGATCTGAGGATTGCCATTCAAAGCCAGCCCCGGCAGAAAAGTCTCTGTGAGACTCTTATCTCCTATAAACTATGCAGAAAAATCTGGAAGTGGTGTTGTAGCTCAAGTGGTAGAGTGCTAGTCTTGAGCACAAAGAGGCTCAGGGACAGCACCCAAGCCCTTAGTTCAAGCCCCAGGACTGACAAAAAAAAAAAGAAATTTTAACTAAACTATGTACAGATTTGTAACTTCAGGAGCAATGGGTATTCATTTCCCACAACATCTTTTATTATTTCAAGAAAAGGAAAGTTAGTAGAATTTTTTCTCTTACAATACTTTCTTTATTCAACTTGAGTTTTTTGGTAAAAGTAGATAATTTTTTTCTATTTGGTAATTTGGTTAGAGTTCCTCTTAGATTGAGTGATTAATTGGCTATGTGTGCCAAGAGAGGGATGTGTTCTATTCTCTTTCTCTGTCTCTCTCTCATTGTCTCTCTCTTTCTTTGTGCCAGTACTGGGGCCTGGGTGCTGTCCCTTAGCTTTTTTGCTCAAGGTTCGTTCTCTAGCACTTGAGTCACACCTCCACTTCTAGCTTTTTCATGGTGAAGTGAAGATAAAATCTCATGCTATTTACCTGCCCAGGCTGCCTTTAAACTGTGGTCCTCAGTCTCTGAGTAGCTGGAATTGCATACATGAGCCACAAGCGTTTGGCTCTAGTCTATCATTTATTTATTTATTGCCAGTCATGGAGCCAGAATTCTGGGCCTGGGTGCTGTCCCTCAGCTCTTCAGCTCTTCAGCTCAAGGCTAGTGGTCTACCACCACAGCACCACTTCTGGCTTTTTTTTCTGCTTATGTGGTGCTGAGGAATGGAACCCAGGGCCTCACGCATGCAAGACAAGCGCTCTACCACTGAGCCACCCAAGCTTTTGGCTCTAGTCTATAATTATTTATATCATTATTATTACTTTTTTTTTTTTTTGGTCAGTTGTGGGGCTTGAACTCTGGGCTTGGGTGCTGTCTCTGTGCTCTTCTGCTCAAGTTGAGCCCTCTACCGCTTAAGCCACGGCGCCACTTCCTATATCATTATTTTAGAAGTGAAGTCCTCTGACTCTTTTTTTTTTTTTTGTCGGTTGTGGAACTTGAACTCAGGGTCTGGGCGCTGTCCCTGAGCCTCTTCATGCTCAAGGCTAGCGCTCCACCACTGGACCCACGGCATTACTTCCCTCTTTTATACATTACAGATTCCATTACTTTATTTGCTAATTTAAACAAAAATTGTTGTTGCTTTGGTGGTACTGATACTTGAACTCAGAGGTTCTGTTTGCCCTCATCACTTTTTGAATAGGGTCTTGCTTCTTGCGCAGCCTAATCTAAACTGCTACCTTCCTTTTTATACTTTCATGTAGCTGAAGGATGGGTCCACGCCACTGCACCCAAGCCTTTTCTGTTGGTTGAGATGGGCCTTATGAACTTTTTGCATAGGCTGGTCTCAAAACTATGATCTACCAATCTCAGCCTTCCAAGTAACTGCAGTTGTTCTATGTTTAATGAATACGATTATACAAATATTGTTTTAGCTACCGCAAGAGTCTTCTTTTCCTGGCTGTGTCGATATGTGATTTGTATGTTTATAGAAGTATGTTTATCTTCAGTATTCTGCTGAGGTCCTCATATCCAGTTGTACTGTGATGCTATTGTTTGAATTTGTCACGCTATTTTTTTGAATTTGGATATATGTGACTTATTTCATATGTATTGGGGAGCTTTACTGTATATTCACAATGTAGACAGTAGGTAGAGTCAGTCAGCTGAATTCAGTGAAGGCCTGAGCCCGTGTATATCCTCTCTGTCATCACTGTTGTGCAGTATGAATTGCTCCACATCAGGTAAAGCTGTGAATGCAAAACCAGATGTCACACTCACTGTGCTCAACTCACTGTGAACCTCACTGTGCCCAAATCACAGGAAGTAGCCATTCTTAATCATATAAATCCAGAAAGTTGGGCCCATCTAATTACATAGTTAGCTGATTTGTACATCTACAAGTTTTTTATAGCAAGGTATGATACTGTTTGTTTTATGCTTTTTAGAATTTATTGTCAAATTAATGTTGTCTTATAAGTTAAGGTTTTAATAATAATAATAAATAATCTTTGTGGTGCTAGGGATCACCTCCAGTGCCTTTTACATGTGGGGCAACTGCCTTCCTATGGAGCTTCATCCCTCAGCCCATTAAGTAAGACTTGTGTAAGGATGTTTACAGTTCTAACTGAAAATAATTAGCTATTATAAAACTTGAGAAAATATTGCTGAATTTTAGATGGTTGTCTGATGTCCATACAGTGTTTCACATAGGACACAATATAGATTTTTGTGAGTCATTCTAACTGAAATCAACATTTGCATTTTATAACTTAGACATACTGCTCTGTGTATGTGAATTCATGATCACATGCTGTCAGAGAAATTTTGTTATGTGAGTGATAACTTCTCAGAGGCTACAGCTGTTTCTCCCTTCTGGATTTAAGTTGAACAGAATCATCAAGGTAATACAGGTTTGCTCTGGGAAACTTCTAAATATTGTAAAATATATGAAGTGAAAATAAACCACTACTTACATTTCCTACCCTCTGTTGCTTTCCAGTGTGGATCACATTTATTATGTATTATCCCAAAGTTGTAATTGTTTATTAGTGCATTTTCATAGTAACTTGAAAGCTTATGGAATATATGTTTCTTGAGAGACAAAAAGGTTGATTTCATGTATGCCACTATTTGATTTGTTAACCCTTTGTGAATTGTAAATTTTCAGGTTTGTTTTAGACTTTGCTTTGGAGGGGAGAAATTATACTTGTGATGTTATGGTAAATATTTTCTGTTAGTTCTTAGTTGTGCTGGTAAAATAACCACTATAGCATAGGCCTCAAATCAGGGGAAATTGAAATTCATTAGTTGTCTAGATTTTAACCAGTTGAGGGTGATATATTCAGTTCAATTATTTATAGAGTTTAGTTTGCTATAGGAGGATCCCTATCAAATATAAAAATAAAAACATAATCCAGCTGTTTCTGGAAGAGTACCTCATTAGTAAGATTCTACAAATTCTGTCAATACTGCATTTAAAATAACACAAGTGCCACGTAGATTACAGGAGTATTACAATTTATGTATACACACTAGGTGTGTGTATGTATTTTAGTTACACTAGGTCATCTTTTGTAGGTGACTTGGATTCTTTTATTATACCATACTTCTAATACATTACAAAATATTGTTTTTTTAATTCAGGAGATACTATATTGTTCTACTCTCTGTCATCAAGAATTTGACTACTTTTAAGTATTTCATATGATGGAATGATAGTTTCTTTCTTTTTTTTTAAATGTTTTTTATTGTGAAATACTGTACAGAGGGGTTACAATCACATGAGCAAGGTAATGAGTACATTCCTTAACAAGCATTGTTGCCTCCTCCTTTGTTTTTCCCCTTCCATCCCTACCCTCCCACCTCTACAACTATATTCCTCCCCCCCACCACTAAATTATAAAGTTTGTTTTTCATATAACATCTTGTACATTTCATTGTTGCAGTGGGTCCAACTGTATCCCTATTTAAACAATTTGTTTTTTCCCTTCCGCTCCCCAAATTATACCAACATCAAATACAGTGAAAACAGGGGTTACACTGTGGGGGAGTGACATACAAAGCAACAGAAAAATCACATGGTACCTTATAAATACATTAGAGATAGTTTCTTTTCTTTTTTTTTTTTAAACTTCTCTTAGCATAATGCCCTCAAGGTTCATTCATGTTTTGGCACATGTCAGGATCTCTCCCCTTTTTTAGGTTGCCTAATATTCCATTTTGTGAATATACCACATTAAAAAAATTTTTTTTACTTACTTGGTGCTTTCATCTTTTGGCTCTTAGATATGCACTCTTTTTTTTGCACTCTTTTTTTTTATTATGAAAATACTGTACAGAGGGGTTACAATTACATAGGCAAGATAATGAGTACATTTCTTATCAAGCGTTGTTGCCTCCTCCTTTGTTTACCCTTCACATCCACTCCCATTACATCTCCCCCACTCCCACTGCCAAAGTTGTAAAGGTTGTTTTTTTATTTTTTAAATATATATTTTATTGTAAAGATACTGTATCGATTGGTTATACCATTATATGAGTTAGGTCATTAATACATTTTCTATCGAGCATTGTTACCCCTCCAAGGAAGACTTTACTATTGTTATGACTTTTTCCAGAAAACTTTTCCATTTTTTCTACATATGATTTTTCTCCTCTTTGTGTGTGAGGGTGTGT